ATAATAATAATAATAATAATGCATTAGTCTTATATAGCGCTACACTGTAGCCACAGCTGCTCTGGGGCAGACAGACATTGGCGGGGCTGCCATACTGCGCCACTGGCCCCTATGACCACCATCAGTAGGCACGGTGGGTGAAGTGTCTTGCCCAAGGACACAACGACTGAAACTGAAACGGCTGGACGGGGGACGGCACGACTCCCCTAACCACTCTGCCACATTAAGAGGAGGAAATTGTAGTTGGTAAGTCCRGACCTTATTCGGCAATTCCATTGCAGATAATTTGATGTAACAGACTCAGAAAATGTCATAGAAAATAGAGAAAACTGAACGGGCTGAAAATATGACCCAAACAGAATATAAACGTATCTTTGAAGCACCAGGAGAAACTAAATTAAACTTTTTTTTGCACTACTAGAGACTCACAACTAGTGTTGTAGTCAAGACCACCTAACCCGAGACCAAGTCAAGACCAAGACCACAGTGTCTCGAGACCAAGACAAGACCAAGACTTTTAGGGCCTGGACCAAGTCAAGACCAAGACCAAGGGAGGACAAGACCGAGTCAAGACCAAGACCAGAAAAAAAACTAGTGTCCTAAAAGATGGTGTGTTCAAAAAATTTTTTTTAAAGTTTCTGCGCTGCTAGATAGCAATAACCTTCACTATCAAACTCCAATGGACTGCTCTGGTTTTGGATTTGAATCATTATGTTTTAAATCCAATGAAAGCAAAGATGTTAACTAGTGCTGTACCAAACGATTATTTTCTAATCGATTAATCTAACGATTATTTTTTCGATTAATCGATTATTCTAACAACAAATCTAAGTTATTCTGATGTGAGTGCACTGGAAATTTAAAATGTTTTCATCAAATTAACAAGAACAGTTCTTTAATATTGTAATATTTTCTGTAATTGTAATATTATTGTAATTGTAATATTTTCATGAAAAACTCACCAATCTTATGCCAATACGGTCGCAATGATGCATTTAGGTACCGAAATGGAATTGCATGAACATTCACGTGGTGGTTATGTAATACAGCGAATCGATAATAAAAAATCTGCGTCGACAAATTTACATAATCGACGTCATCGATTATTTTCAACTAATCGGTGCAGCCCTAATTTTGATACACTTCCATTAATTATTTATAAGGATTAAATAATATTTTCATTTTAATTTCCTATTTTGTCATTTGCTTTGCTAGTTTGCATAATCTTTTATGCAGTAGGATTACAAAAATATACTTTTTGGGGGGAACAAAGATGTATTTTTTGTGTAATTTTTGTTGCTTTTTCTTAATGTTGCGTTTTTCTTTCTTACAAATAGAACACTAGACAGAATGACAAGCATCAACAC